TATTAGTCTTCCATTAGTAGTTGGAAAGGTTTTTGAAAGTATGGTAATAGATGCTATGCAAAGTCATTTAACAAAGATTAACATTTTTTGAATAGTCAGCATGGTTTCACTAGGGAAAAATCTTGCCTTACTAATCTTCTTTTGACATTCTTTGAAGAGGTTATTGCTTATGTAGATGAGGGTAAGGACGTAGATTTGTTGTATCTGGATTTTCGGAAAGCATTTTGACAAGGTGTCACATAAAACATTTTTTAAAAAAAAAAGGATATCTCTGTAGGCATGATGGATAGGTTGGCTCATTGAAAAGAAAAACTGGCTAGATGTAAGAAAGCAGAGGGTTTTTTTTATAGAAATTTCAATCAAACTAGATTAATGTCACAAATAGTGTACCTCGGGATTCAGTGTTAGGACCTTTACTTTTCTTATTTAAATTAATGAAAAAAATGAAAGAATGGTCAATGTTATTTAAATTTGCCTAATACATTAATGTTTGGGTGTTGCTGGCTGTAAGGAAGATGCTGCTACTTCAGAAATGGATTTGGACTATTTGGTGAGCTGGGTGAATAAGTGGCAGATGACTTTTAACTAATAATAAATATAAGGTAATATATTTGGGATATCACAATTTGAATTATGTGTATAATTTTGATGGGAATAACCTTAACATTGTTATTATGGAAGAAAAAAATCACGGTGATCTGGTTCATCTGTCTCTTAAACAGTTCAAGCAATGTGCTACTGCTAGTGGCAAGGCAAATATAATTTTAAGTTCTATCTGAACACAAGTCTAAAGAGGTTATAATGTCATTGTATGTCATTGGTTAGGCTACATTTTTTGCACTGTGTTGGGTTCCTTACCTTAGAAAAGACACTGAATTGCTGGAAAGGGTTCAGAGAAGAGCTACTAGGATGATATCTGAAATAGCTGTCATACAAGGATAGGTTAAAATCTATGAACTTGTTTTCACTTGAAAAAAACAGGAATTATAAAAGATCTAACTGAGGTGTTTAAGATTAAGGGAATTGATAGTGTTGAAGCATTATCTTTTTTCATATTTAATGGTGAGAAAGGTAAGACTAGGAAATACAAATAAAATTTGGCAGAGTAGGTGCCATTTTCAGCTAAGACAGATTAATATTTCTAGTAGGGTGGTTGCCCTCAGATGTGGTACATGCAGTTAATCTTGGGGAAAGCTTGATAAATATTTAAATAATAAGGGCTGGCTTTTAGTTTAATTTAGTGGATAGGAAAAAAGGTTGTACTTTAATGTTATGCTACACAAACTACCTTTGTGGAATTGTCTGTTGAACTAACACACAATGGCGATGGTAGTGAAGAAACAAACTGAAAACAATTATGTAAAACAGCCAGGTTCTAAAATGTTGATTGTTAAAGTAAACTTTTGTTTCCTGAGAATACCAGGAACCAGATAAATGCCAATTCCTTAAAAATTACCATAATCCAGAAGAAGAAATCTGTGAAAATACAAGGGTCTTTAGGATGAAGAAGAAAAGAATATCCAGCTGTAGCCTAAGCAAAATACTATTTAATTTCATTTTTTGAATTGCTTTACTTGATATTATTATCATCATTATGATAAAAAGGCAGATTTTCCACAACTGAGTAACCATGACTGTAAAACCCACCAGGGACACCAATAGATAATGTGAGGATGAATATGTAGATAAAAAAAAGGGCCAAAAATACAGACACAGGAAATCCCTGCACTCTAGAGGCAGACTACATGAGTAAGGTCTCAAGAGAAGTTTTAAAAACTCCAATATTGATAGAAACATACACAATTGTAGGAAACAAACAACTTCTGAATTCATAGTGAATGAAGTTAACAGAACAACTGTTGATAAGAAAATCTGAATTATGGCAAGAAAGCAAAGCTTATATACATCCTCCTAATGTGAACACAACAACTCATTTGAAAGGTGAAAGCTTAAAGGACTTTAGGTAAATTGATTCATGCTCTGCATGGAGTCAAGGACATTCAGAACTATAGTCACATTATTGCTATCATCATGACAGCAACTCAACAAGGCAATGCTTTTCATATTTCAGAGGTAAGTCTGCTGTTTTGAAATCCACAATTAAAACCTTTTCTGATATTTCCCATAGAATACTCAAGGTCAAGTATATTTCTAAAATCCTACTTTCTAAAAACAGAAGAGAACATTTAAAATCTAAACCATCTAATATTCTCCAACAACAACCCTGCCATAATCATCATTCAATTAAGGGCTCAATCCCCATTTTCACATATTGCTTACCTTCAACAAACAAAAAAACAACCAGTTGTTTCTCTTTAGGCCCCTTCTGATTTTCAAAATTTCTGTTTTAACCAAACACCTATATTTTTTCACATTATTAACTAATTTCATAACTATCAGAAAAATAAAACTTTTAACCAAGAAGTTAGTCCGTCTTTTCAAATTTAGAAAATGACAAACTTCTTTAACAGATATTCCCCCAAGGGTTTTGAAGAAGATAAGGACTAGATATGCAAGATACTTGTAAAAAAATTTTGTATCTGTCCATGTGATTATAAGCCTATTAGTCTTATATCAGTGGTGGGAAACGTTTCTAAAAGTCTGATAAAAATGCTTTGCAAATCATTTAACAAAGTTTAAAATTTTGTTGGATAGTCACTATGGTTTCATTATCAAAAAATCTTGACTTACTAATTTTTGACATACTTTGAAAAGGTTACTTTTTATGTGGGTTTGATATATCTGGAATTTCAGAAAGCGTTTGGCAAGATGCTACATAAGAGGCTTGTTGGATGAAAAAATGGTTATAGGGAATTAAATAGGTTAATATAAATGAAGTTCAGTGAAACATGATTAATAACACAAGTAAGGTACATACATGTTATATGTTACCTTATGTCCTCTCAGCCCATTACCTTCAGAATACAGCACAAAGAAATCAGAGGCTTTTATCACATTAATCCTTTGGATAATCTTATAAACTTTAATTTGATCAAGAGAAAATAACTTAAGTCTTAATCCATCCCTCTAAGTATCACTGTAGTAGGCTGCCTCTGAACCCTTTCTAAAAAGTCAATATCTTTATACACTGTATTCCAAGTGAAACCCACAGTGATTTGTATAGAGATATTAACTCATTTGACTTGTAAGCAGTATGTATAAATAAAAATTCTATTAGCTTTAAACTTAGGAACAGAGAACTGTTCTGACAGTTTCAAATGACTTATTCACTGATATGTCATGCTACTGAGTTGGTTCTCACATTTGGAATGTGTGATTCAAATTATAACTCAAATGCATTGCCTTCCACTTGCTACAATTAAAGGTCATTTACAAAGTATTTGTCCCATTTATGAATTGATCTAAGTCATCCTGTATTATCAAAACATCCTTAATACCACTACAAATATCAGAGTTTAATGTAATCACCAACCTTTACTAGTTTACTTCTTAAACCCCTATCAATATTGTCTGCTAATGTAAATAAGGAAAGAAATAGGTCCATGCACTGACCCCCAAGGTAGTACAGTTTGACTGGACTCTATTAACAACTTTTTTCTCTATATACAATTACCTTACAGTAGTTCCCATTATACCATACCTTCATAATCTTTCCTGTCATTAGTGTCAACCAGAACCCTCACCTATTTTGTTCCTTAATAAATGACTAATAACAATAATAACTAGTGCTCCTAACATTATAAAATACTGCATTATAAATAGCACCTAAACTTCCTCTTAGCCCTACTAGTACTACGTTTAGATCTATCTTTAATAAAACTGACATACTTAAGTTATCTTTAGAATTATAATTATAAAATACTGCATTATAAATAGCACGTAAACTTACTCTTAGTCCTACTAGTACTAAGTTTAGGCCTACCTTTAATAAAACTGACATACTTAGTAAAGTTATCTTTAAAATCATAATTCAATTTCTGCTCTGAATCTCATTTTCAGGGAAGTTTCCAAACTTCTCGTTGCCCTAGTATTAATATTAGTAATAGTATCGCCAATCTTATGTTTACATATTATGAATTTGTTTATTCCTGATTTCCCAAGCTCTCTCATCATTATGCAAATTGCTAGTTTAAATACTGTTTAAAGTTAATATTATATACAAAGCTTCCCTAAACATCCTATTAGTATTACCTAACCTGCATAACTGATACCCAATACTAGTAGTAAATAAAGTAAGCTTACTAAAATATTCTTACCAAAGTTACAATTAATAAGAATCGTATGGACTGCGAATAAAGACAGTGCTCCCTGGTGGAAAAATAATACAGAATATCTAAAATATTTAAAATTTTAAAAAATATATAGTTCGCAATATTTTGTTAATTATTATTAAGCTAGAATTGCACGTTTTTTCTATGTCTACCGACGCAATTCTTTTACGCAAATATGCGTTTTTCTTTAGTAATTATTTTGTACTTTGTATATCCTTTCTATTTTCTTTTGTTTGTATAATCCGGTAGCTCAGCATTTAGCTTGTAGGTTTATTATAACCCCAAAATTTAGAGGTTCGATATACACGCTGGACACAATGCAGATAACTATTTGAGTAGGGTGATACGCAGGCATATCATATGTTTTCTACCTGCGTTAGTGATCTGGGAATGAAAAATAAAACTTGTGTAATTAGTTTCTTTACAGTTGTAGCGTAAACACGTGGTTCAGAAGACCTTTGAGTTGTCTTGTTCGAATTGCTTATTTTTTCTTTGTTCTGTATAATAGATCATTTCTGTTCTACCCGAGAGGATATTGAAGTATTATATAATCTGCATTGAAAGGATTACTGACTGTAATAAAATTTGCTAGCCAAACTGACATTGTTTCTATGTCGCAGCTAACTAACACTGTCGGAGAACAATTTACGGTTATAAGGTAATGCTGTTGAATGAACAAAGAAACCGAGTTTGCCTCATGAATTTAAGTAACTTTTCTTGGCTCAAATATACTATGAATTCTTTAAGTAAAGACTACACCTCAAGGTCGTCGTGTTTTAGTTCTGTTGAAATCAGTCTTAACCGAATAGAAGGTTTGAGACTAAACATCACCTAGTAGAATATCAACTGTTTTCCTGACTGTGCAAGTATGTTGGCTGCATTTCTTTTTCGTCTGATTATATTAAAGATCGTGCTTCTTTCATTCAAGGCTTATCTTGTCTCATTATTCCACTTACAAGGAACTCAGCCAAGTTTTCAAATACAGACTACTCAACGAATTTTCTGGTCGAATATACTGTTATTAGTTGATCTATGTATCTGATACCTGAAGGGAAATCAGTTCACCTGAAAATACCATAGTAACTTGTGCTAAGAAAAAAATACATAAAGCAATAAACAAACAAATAAATACACTTCTTGGTTTAAGGTTAATATTAGGAAATAATTTGAAGTAAGGTAAAGTGTAAAGTGTTTGAACATGTTTATATATTGTTGAATGTATTGCAGAGTTAGAGAGATATTTTATCTTAAATTGTTTACCCTCTAAGAATTCATTCAAATATAGGCTGCAAAAAAAGGCTACATCCATGTTAAATTATGCTGGCTATAGTACGTACTGAAACTTTAATTCTGTGAACAGAAACTTTATCAAACTTTGAACTTTTTGCATTAGCATCTTCTTGTCAAACACTGTAACTACAAAGGACTTAAGTAACTCAAATGTAAAGAGAGTGTAGGACAAGAGTGACAGAAATACAAAGGTTGATTATATTATATTAAAACAGTTTTAGAGCACTACCACATTGTTATAGTGCATGTCACCACGTCCAATCATACTCTATCTGACAACCGTGCATGTTGACAGTTGCCATCAACATAGTTTTCTTTTCAAAAAGCTCTGTTGCATGACTGTTACGTCCAAAGCAAATCAGTCTTTTTTTTTAGGCTTTGCATAACCCATCTAGTATAAGAGAATTATGGTTTTCAGTGCCTGTTTCAACAGTCTGATTGCACAGAAATCCGTAGCGGCTGTGCCCAGTAACTTAACTAGTATGTTTTCATATGGAATATTATGAATACTCATTTAATTCTATGGCTACTTAAGGTATGTGATGGATGAATGGATATGCTGTGGAAGCAGTGCTTGTGTATATAAGACTTGTGTCATTTTTCCTGACAGTGGATAACTTTTGACATTGATCTTTATATTTCCGAATTCTCATCTGTTAAAATTAGCCAGACTTTGCTTACCATGGGTGGGGTATAACTTAATGCACATTTCTATCTACCACAAAGAACTGGTCGTTTGGGAAAGTTATGTAACAACCCTTTCCAATGCAAAATATTCATAAGCTCAGGTGATCAAAACGTGTTCAAATTGGGGATTTAGAATTTCCAAAATGGGAATATCTTTTGTAATAGCTGACATTGGGAAATAAGCGAATATTACTTGCTGATTTGCGTATTCAAAATCGTTTTAATATAATATACACAATCCTCTGTATCTAACACCTATGCTCAAGAGGTTAAAACAAATAAATAGCAGGTTTAATGAGCCAGGACATTACAATTGCTCAACCATTTCTGTGTTGTGTGGCTATGACATATGAAAAAAAGAGCATGTTGTTTGTTTGATTTCATTGTCTTATGTCTAAGTGCTATGCATACAAAAATCAATCTCTCTCATGTTGTTTTTTACGTCTATCTATCCCTGAAGTGTCTATTCCCTGCCCTATACTTGAAGATTAATATAAAAAAATTACACCATTTTGATGTGCACCACATATAAATATATATAATATCCTATAGTCGCTTAAGGATCCAATGATGGAAATGTATAAATATCCTATTGTCACTTCAGCAACCTATGTTTGAAATATATAAAGTATCCTACAGATACTTGAGTAACCTATGACTGAAATATATTACATGCCCAACAGTCAATTGAGAAACCGATGTTTCAAATGTATATGCTATACTACCTTAACTTGAACTGCCTAGGATTGAAAAATAAATGACAATTTTTCAGGATACAGTTGGTTAGATTTTGTCAGTTTTCAGGCATCTAACTTTACTTTTTACAAACTTTCATCTTCTTTTAACCGTGATGCTCATGTTACTGTAACTTAAACACATTAAAAAGCATTGGAATGATGTTGTACCTTATACAGTAAAAGCATGAAGGTAGCTAGTTTCCTATAGTTTTAGTTCAAAAAGTACTGAATATTAGTACCTCTGACGACTATTTCCTTCTCATTAACCATATACTTTTAGATCTTAATGCAAAAGGTTAACTGCACTTTTTAAAAATGATGTTCCTGTTCTTGAACTGTTCTATTTCCTCTATTGTCCATCATGCTCATTATAATAACAATGGTTATGTACTATTGTCTAACAACACAATTTCCCACGTATCAAGCTTCAGCAAACTACGATGAAGTCAATCATAGACCATACACTTTGACAAACATCCCATAGGCCTTCCACTGCATGTGTGCATTAACTTCCAAAACTGCGTTTAAGTAATCTAACTACACAAAAGTCAATGGATGGAAAGTCAGGTGACTTTAGTGTATATCAGAGAATGGGGCAATATAAACTCTGGATTTATTCCCTATGGTGTGGGCATAGCAGAATGGGATATCCGTATTCAACTGCATTCGAATGCAGTTTGGGGAGTATTCGTACCTGTATTCGAATAATTTGGTAGGGAAAATTAATGTATTCGTATTCAAACACAATGGCATAGTATTCTTATTCGCTGAGTGATTTAGTGAATACTAAAATATTGTAAGAGTAAATGTCAACTTTTGTAATCATCCAATTTCTAGACTGTCATTATTACATCCGTAGCACGTTAAATCAGGTTAATACTCTCCAACCACCTTAAAAGTTATTGTATTACATGAATATTTCATACTGATAGATCTGGTCACATCAAGGTAAAGTGTATATATTGTGAAGAGACTATTTCTACTTCAGGAAAACCACTTCTATCCTGCTGACACATCTGAAGGTAAGTCTGTTTATTATATTTATTAATATGAACTAAATTCCATCTAAATTATACAATAAAATATAGGTAAAATAAATTTCTCATGCGTGTTAAACTATATTTTTAATTATTTTCATTTATTTAGTATTATATGTTTTTATTATTTCTATTATAAACTATATTATATATTATACAACTGAGATATATATTTATTATAATACGTTTTTATTATTTTTATTATTATGAATTATATCCTATAGTTAAGCTAAATTTCTCATGTTTTGAACTATATTCACCATGACAAGACATTTGAGAGACTAATGCTTGTAAAGAATCTCTATAAATCTCCTTTAAAAATTTATTTTTTTTAATTCTAAAACTTTGTTAATTTAACGAGTTTTGAAAAACAAAAGTATTTAAATGTTATTGTTACGACAGCGGAAGTCACGTGACTCTAGTAACACGTCATGAGATTCTAGAAGGATCTTTTCTGCTCGTGGCAACTCTAGTCTTCTTTACGCGCCCTCTATTTTTGTATATAAGTGCGCCAGATAAAGCGAAATTAATTAATCGGAAATGAATAGCGGACAGAGAGATTGAAGATATAGACAGACATATGAGTCAAGCGCGGTAGTAAGTAAA